TATCAACACAGACTGTACCTATATGTAAAATAAGTTAGGGTGAATTATGACATCTTTCAATCATGCCATTTTGCAGTTATATTTTATTATTTTCATATGACGTTTCCTGATTACTTTACCCAACCAATAGACGTTCTTTACCCAACCAACTAGCATCGCAGTGGAATTTTGTATAAATCTTATACAAGTTACACTTCGTGTCTAATCCCTCTTAAAAATGTAACTAATGCTCTGTAAACTTTAGCATTATTTGAGCCCAAAATGGTATGTAGTTAAATAAAAGATCCATGAAATGGATTATGAAGTTGAATAATTTTTTTCTTTCTTTCTTATATTTGGGAAACAGGTAAGGTGTTCGCATGTGTCATTATTTGGTCACAAACACTAGAATTGGGTATATTTTATTTCGTATAAATATTCATTGCAAATAGCATGGTTCGAGCGTAGTCTACATATTGTTCGACACTTATCCTTATTTACTGGTTGGTTCTTAAACCAGGAAGTACCGACTTTCAGCTGTATGGATTGGTAAAACCTCCTTCACTCGAACTCCAATAACTGTCTTGCCACGTGTGTAATAATGCCTCCTCTATAACATCTTAGATTGTTTAAAATCTGCGTGTTGATTTAAAAGAAAGAAAAGACAGGTTTAAAAGTGGTTTTAAAAGTTTTCTAAGGCTCTATGCAGATTTTAGTACAATAAGTTAATTTTGGGTGTTATTCAATTTAAGTATGTTTTATGAGTAAACAAGTATAATTAATTATTAAAAGAGTAATTTTCATTAATGAGTTTCTTTCAACACAGACTGTACCTATGTATAAAAAGAGTTAGGGTGACTTATGACATCTTAGAATGTTTAAAACCTGTATGTTGATTTAAAAGAAAGACAGGACAAGTTTAAAAGTGGTTTTAAAAGTTTTCTAAGGCTTCTCGGTTTGTAGTCAGCATTCAATGTCGGAATCAATAGGCTGAGTAAGAAGGTATTTGACACCGGGCGAAGACAACAAGGGACAATAGAGAAGGGCTTCACCGCACCCTTTCCACCCCCGGAGCCCTAATTATTGAGTAATCACTTTACTAGAGAAACAACCGGCCAATCTCTAGGACTAGTATGTACAGATGACATAAAGAACCCGCAGAGTTCCCTTTGTCCACCGCTGATTCATTTCCGACAACAATGGGCCCAAGAACCTACCCTTCGCCCAAAGAGATAAATCTGGCGTTTATTTCATTTTGAGCTTCATCATATGTGATAAGCCTTTTGTTCAGTCTGCGGTCCAGTTTATTACTTTCATCATTAAATGATTTCTTGTTCCCCCCAAAAAATTATTATATTTGTTAAGCACCTAAGCACGCCAGGATTTGTCAGTACAGTACAGTTATTATTTAAATATATTTCAAGTAATTTTAATTTAATTCATTTAAATTTTTTTAAATGAATATTAGAAGAGAATAGTTAGTAGAATTATTATAGACCCGTTTACATCTTTCTTTAAGTACTGTAAAGTTAAATCATCTCCACTCATTACACAGCAGTGTTAAACACTCTTGCGCATTATCGTTATATCCCGCATAATAAAAAAACTGCCTCAATACGAGATTTCCTATGGCGCATTAGTTCAAAATTATTATGTATTTTTCCTCATAAATTTATTACAATAAGTTATTTTTGGGTGATATTAAATTGGAATTTTTTATGAGTAAACAAGTTATTTTTGGGTGATATTAAATTTGATTTTTTTATGAATAAACAAATTATTTTTGGGTGATATTAAATTTGAATTTTTTTATGAGTAAACAAGTTATTTTTGGATGATATTAAATTGGAATTTTTTATGAGTAAACAAGTTATTTTTGGGTGATATTAAATTTGATTTTTTTATGAATAAACAAATTATTTTTGGGTGATATTAAATTTGAATTTTTTTATGAGTAAACAAGTTATTTTTGGGTGATATTAAATATCATATTTGAATTTTTTTATGAGTGAACAAGTTATTTTTAGGTGATATTAAATTTGAATTTTTTATGAGTAAACAATTATAATTAATTATTAAAAGAGTAATTTTCATCAATCAGCGTATCAACACAGACTGTACCTATATGTAAAACAAGTTGGATGACTTATGACATCTTTCAATCATGGCGTTTTTCATTCAAATTTCCAACATTATAGTAATCCCATAAACATAAACAATTTATTCCTAGACGAAATAAATTCCCATTGGCGGGAATTCTATAGTATATTCATAGATGGATCGAAATCCCAAGATGGTGTGGGTTGTGCGATCTGTGATGCTAATTTAAATTATAAAGAACAGTACATGCTTCCAAATTATAGTTCGGTATATTACGCCGAATATTATGCTATCCTAAAAGCCGTTAAGTACACCCAAAAGATAGCAAACCAAACAAAAATTCTAATTTTATCTCATAGTAGAAGTGCTCTCCTAGAAATAAAACTCTCTACATTAGAAACTTCATAGAATCCCATAATAGTAAAAATAATGCACAACGTCTACAACAACATAAATATTAAATTGATTTGGGTCACTGCGCACTGCGGAATTAAAAACAATGAGATTGCCGATTCGCGGGCCAAACAAGCTGTCACCGAAGGATCATGTACCAACAACTTGAAAATGGCGACCTCTGACACTTTCACTGAAAATAAAAAACTCCATCGAAAAGTATGGCAGATTAAGTACTCTAAGTCCCCAAAAGGTAAATTTTTTAAATCTATTCAGCCAGAAATACCGTCATTACCGTGGTATGTAGGACGTACAATACCAAAAAGACTATGCAAAACCGTCTGCAGACTCCGTTCTGACCATGCACTATGTATATATTATGCAGAGTGGGCGACCAAGACCCGAGGGGTTAAATGCCTGGGTAGACTCCTACCCCACCGCTAAAAGGTCCGGGACTTGGTCGACTCACGTGTCCTACATAAATCTCTTGGACTTGTTCACAAAACCCCAATATTTTGGACCATTTTATCTCGGGGAGTGATTTGGTGATGTCCGCTCCTTCAAAGATTTCAAATCTGGACCTCGCATACCTATCGTGAGGTAGTGTCTTGCCGTTTCTTCTTATATTTCGCAAAGACGGGAAAAAGGATCTGGTTGACTATCCATTACGGAGAGGTGTCTTCTCAGTGGGCAGTGGCCCGTCAGAATACCTATCAGCCTCCTAATTTCCTTCCTTGAGATCGAGAATAGCCATTTCGATTCTGCTAGTTTGATCGCCTTAACAAACTCTTTCGATTGCCTGTGTCCGGGGGATAAATTCCACTCCCTAAGGTTCCTCTTTCGTTGTGCTCATAGAGTGAGGTAATACCGGTTGTGGCCCGACAAATGTAGTATTAGAACCTTCTTTGGCCAGGCCATCCGCTTTTTCATTGCCATGATTTATGTGCTGGTATCCAAATATGGGTTACCTTGTTCTCAAACCTGGAAGAGATCTACGGTTTCCTCCACCAGTCTTAAGGTAAACAAATCTTTTTGTAATGACCTAAGACTAGACTGACTGTCAGAAAAAATTCTAATATCCTTTGCACTATGTAAAAAATACCTTTACAAAATAGGACTAAAAGCTGCCCGATATGCGATGGGGAAAGGAAACGATGGAACACATATGAGTTGCCCAAGTTTCCAAAGGAAATGACAAATTTTTTTCAAACGTTTAGTTCCCCTTCCCTTCAACTATTCAACGCGGTTAGGTTCTAAAAACGTATCAGTGTACTTATGTATACAATCGTTTCTAAATGATATAGAACATGAGGTATAAAACAAGATCTATATCATGTTTATAGTCTAAATTAAAATTAAATAGTTAGCATGGCTATGGCTGCAAAGCAGCGAATGCAAAAAAAACACTTCTTTCTTCCTAAGGGCTGAAGTGACCACAAAGAAAGTTGATAATCAACGATCGGTCGTTTGGTTAAAATAAAAAATATTACATTTTTAGTATATTATATATATATATATATATAATACTGGAACGTTTTTGAGTGTAGTTTAGTAGACGAGTCTTGTAATTGAAAACAGTTATGGTACCAAACAAGAATCGTCTTCTGGCTAATTAATTGAATTTGGTAATAATTCTGCTGTATTGAGGTCACCTATGTCCAGAGATCAAAAACTTCAGATAACCGCAAAACAATACTCAGGTAATTAACGACCTTTTTTGCCTTGTTTTGAGAACGATGAAAATTTTAGGGTGGCCAGGATGTCGGTCCGGTTTCTGATAAGCCGCGGAGATAAATGTAGATTGTAGATTAGCCCTAATGTGGGCCGAGTCCAAATTGCTTCCTCCCCCTTTTCCTCCTAACAAGTCCATCAATAAAGATGGGAATTAGTCGCGAATTATCAGATAATCACGAAGCCCCTGACGAGGCTCCAATTTACAGCAGATAACTCGATGGCCTTATAATTGATTTTATTGGCCGGGAGATTTCGCTAGAATGGGAAGATTAAAAGGCTCACAGGAGTCCGGCCAGGTATCTGGTTTTTTCTTCTTGTGCCAGCCTACCTGTCGTATGACTGGCTAATAGGAAAAAAAATTGACCCAGTCTTTTAATCTCAATTTGGGACAATAAAATGGAAATTATCTGCAGGTCGAAGACATTGAAAAAAATTATATTCATTGTGTAATAATAAATAAGTAAGCTTGTTTTTGTTTCAACTTTACGTCTAATCTTTCAATGCCTGTCATACATGATTTATTTTTATTCAATTATGCAATATATTTTGTTGACATTTTAAAACTATAGCTTAAATTGTTGTCAAGTTGCTTTTATTATAAATCATTACATAGATTTTTTTTGTAGTATTAACTGTATTTATAAACTGCAGATACACTGCAGTCCATACCATTTTGTTCTGAGAAATTAACAAGAGTTTCTTATGAAAATTTAGTCATAGCTGCAATTTTTGTGAGTCTTTTAGTTTCTCTATCTAAACTTATCATTATTACATGTAATGTATTTTATGTTTAGGTGGTTCGACAACGACAAACGAAGAAACGAGCCGACCTTCCACCCCGCATTCTGTCGGTGCAGGGACGTCAAATGCGACAGGCGGAGAAAGACAGGGTGGAAGCCCAGTATCGTCCGGCCCGGAAGAGGTCTCCCCCAACGTGCCGGTTCTCTCCTACCAACACAGGGACTTTCTCCCAAAATACTCCAGCCAGGACGACGCCCAGGACGACGAAATACAAGAAGAAGAAGACGACAAAGAAGACAAGAAAGAAAACCCGGGTAACAAGAGGAAGAAAAAGACAAGGACCGTCTTCTCCCGGAGTCAAGTCTTCCAACTAGAATCCACATTCGACATGAAGAGGTACCTTTCCAGTTCGGAAAGGGCAGGCCTCGCCGCATCCCTCCACCTCACAGAGACCCAGGTCAAAATATGGTTCCAGAACAGGAGGAACAAGTGGAAAAGACAGCTCGCGGCCGAGCTCGAGGCTGCAAACATGGCTCATGCTGCACAGAGGCTTGTACGAGTCCCTATCCTGTACCACGAAGGAGCCAACATTCACCACTTAAGTACATCCGGTGCGACGCCATCCTCGGTGACGACCAGCCAGTCTTCGTCCCCTTACCCGCTCTATTACCCTCATCCGCAAACCCTCCCTGCGAGCCCTGTCGTGTCCAGGGCACCCCTTCCAGGGCTGGTCTGAGAAACGATCCCCACAAATGGGGAGAACACATAGCGCGCTTAGATTGTAGAATGGGCGCCCTGTTTATCTTCTAGTCATTATCCAAATGGGGATGTTGTAAATAGGAAATAAAGCACAATTTCCTTCCTTCGGTGAAAAGTTCATTCCTTCGCACACAGGATATCAAAGGCTGTTTGAGGACCTCCGAGAATAAAGTCTGATAAACGCAACTACTCGTATCAGAATCAAGAAAACATTGTTCAACAATCACCAGTTTAAAAACAAGAAATAAACACTAATTTTTTAAATTGAATAATCAAATTATCTTATGCGTATAAATCTTTAGTTATATAATATTGATTACTTCTGTTTACTCGGGTCAGGACCCCGGGGACTTTAGACATGCCAACAATCAATGTTATCCTTATAACGCTCATCAATGGAAGTTAGCCTTAGAAATTTTTTTTAAATTAATTCAACTTGTACTGAATATTTCGCACTTACAGAAAGCAATAATAATAAATAGAAAATTGTTTACTGCACAATGCAAATTAACGAAATCTCAAAATGAAATGCTCTTGGATAAACCAACTTTCGCGCACTTTCTACTGAGTTTCATTTCTTTCCCAAACAAATGTTACATTTTTAAAGATTTTTGAATTTATGGATTATATAAAAATTAATGTTTGAAATATGGTGGTATATATTTGAAAAAAAAAACTATTGTACGTCAAGAATTAAATTAACAAGATATCATACAATTTTAAATTTTATTTATGATCAAAAATAGCTTATTAAATAATGTGATTTGCTTGAAGAATCTAGAGTAAAAAAAATTACCATTGGATATTACATCCAAGTTGAATGCATTTAAAATTTGGTTCATGCGACAGAGCATTTCATTTGTTCCATTCTGTCTTGTTTAACTGTAGAATAAGAAAATTTAACAGACAAGAGAAAAAACGAGTATGTTTAATTTAAAACGATATTATTTGTTACTATTAAGAATCAAATACAAAACTTACTCATGAAAGTCAGGTGAAAAGAATTATTCAAGCCAGGCATAAGATTCGTTTTTAACTAAACTCTTGTTACTTAAAAAAAACTTATTTCCTTTATAAACTTTTTACTAAACTAAATAGCATGCCATCTTAATTTAACATATTTTGAAGACAATAAAAGTAACCTGACTTGAAAATGATCGACTGGTATTTGAAGTCATCGCAAACCACCGCGTGTACATTGTAACTGTATATAAACATATTAATTTATTTGTAATTTTAAGAGGTGTTTCGTAAGATATAAGTTTTTGTCAAAGGGCGCCCGAACTGTTAGAAATGAAGTTTTGTAACGTGTACAGAATCGATGACAAAATGAGAAAATGATTGAGGAAAAATGATGCTTTATTTCTTACTTTTTAGACACATAAGCTTGTAAATAGTTATCTGTGTGAGTAGGTCCGCTGCTAGCTCCACCAAAATTGTAAATTGTAATATTATAAATACATATCAGTGTAATTAATAGTAAAAATAAAAAAATAATAAAAATAAATGAGAGGCTTGTAAAATAAAAAAGTTACCAGAAAATAATGCAAACAAATTGTAATCACAAACATTCCTTTATTGTATGATAATTGTCTATATGTGATATGTGTATTAATTAGGGTGTAAACTATATTGTGGAAAAAAATAAAGTTGATTATTAAAAAGAAACTGGAAGGGGTGCAAACGATTCAGTTTGTTGTTTAAACAAAAACCGCTTTATCCCAATCCTCCAAATCGAATTAACCGTCGGGAATCCGTATATTTCTAAGCGTCAGCTATACTTTACAAAATGAACCTTTGACTTTTCAAATGTTTAAACGGTTGCGTAACAAAAGATGTGTTCAGCGAAACCAGTAAAAAACAATTTAGCCGAATAAAGCTACTTATAAAAATAAAATGACATAGATAGATTACAATATTGGTCGATAGTGCGAATATCCCATCAAGTAGGTCAAATATTACATTACGAAAGTACAGTAAGTAAGTAAATAAAAGATTTGAATTAATTGTAAGAACAATTTGGCATATATAGAATTTAATTGTTGAAGACATTAAGTATTATTTTGCTCAAAAAAACAGTACTGTGCGGTTTTATTAAATTATAAATTTCGAGGAATTTGTAAAACGGAGTAAGTATGCCGCTGGATTCGAACACGGGACCTTTACCCTACAGTGATGAGCACCGTGTCTACGTCTTGTTGCATCCACCGACACCTTCTATAAAAACAGTATAGCATGTCGAGATTTTACTTTTTTTGTTGATATTATAGATGTTAATAAAATTTGTATACATATTTATATTTCTTCTTGTGTCGCTTTATCGCTTCCATACCTTTGTTCCTCCAGTACATAAGGAGTTGGTAAATTTTAAAAGAAACGCAAATAAATTTTTTTTACTACATTTATTTGAAATTTACAACTACAAATATTGTATTAAGTAAAAATGTTCATATATGTTGAATTTGAAATTAAATCTCTTGTAGGAGAAGCTGCCCAGTAGCAACACTCCTTCATTTTAAATCTTTTCAACATCTTTTCACTCAACAAAATAAAATAAAAAAGTTAGTAAAGATCAAGAGTTTCAACAGTTTCCTGAATTTAATTATTATGAATGGTTGTGAAAATCTTTTGGCAAATTGGTAACTACAGGAAGTAAATTAAGGTAGTATTGCTTAACAAAAATTGTCATGAATTAAAAGACAGTAGTTATTTATTATTTTCAATTAATTATTCTTTTTATGTAAGGTCTCGGTTGAGATGAAAAAGTTAGTGAAACAAGCTGGATTCGAACACACGACATTTGAAAAATGGCAAAAAGAAGGAAAAATTCGAAAGGTTGTAAGATTCGATCACTCACTCTTGACGTCACGATAGCTCAAGTGGTTAGAGCAGCGGCGTATAGAGCCGAAGGTCGTGGGTTCGAATCCCGCTCGTGACACTGAATTTTCATCACAACTGAGACTTTATATAAAAAGAACAATTAATTGAAAGAAGTAATTTGGTCAATTAGACCACTAAAACATAATGGAATTTTTTATTAGGTTCATAAGATCGAATTATTCAAAAACAGTTCAGAATGTTATTTTGTCAGCAAAGCTGTATTGTGTTCGTCGTTTTGATTATGTTTATCGTATGATTTTTTTCTCAAACTGTTTACTATAGATATAGACAGTATTGCATAATCTTATTAAGAAGTGAGATTATTCAAATTTTCCTATTCAACTCTGCTTTCCGTTTTATTTATTGAAACGGATGGAATGTTCGTAAACACTGCACATCAAGCCCATTATTACTGTAAACCGCAATTAATTAAATGGTTTCAATTAACGTCCGAAGGTCGGCCGTATGATAAACTAGTTTTTTTATTGGGGCCGTAAATAGAGTGGGTAAGTGTCGGAAGGCGCTAGTTCGCCCATTATTCAAAGACACCTGCCTTGGCAGGCTTCTTTGATAAATCTACTTAATTACGTCAATGAGATGACCCCAGGGGCGAACAGGAAATATTAAGCCTGCGGGGAAAAAAATAAGGCAAACATCGCTTTTGTTTCGCGCCCCGGCTTTAGATATTGAGATTTCCTGCTACGATAAATCATTTATCTTAATTGGCGATGTTATATGGCATGAGGAAGCAGCCGCAATTAACAACATTAAAAGATAGAATGAAGGCACGAACAAACACATTATACCTTTATTTATTTCACAACGGACTAACATGCAAAATCCAGATCGAATTTAAAGTTATGTTATTATCAAAAAATGCAAAATTAGTTAAAAACAACAGTAGTTTCGGTTCAAAAACTAGGTAGAATAAAAGATTTTACAAAGTTTATATGTGAGTTTCTAAAAAAATGAAGATGACCTAGTAAATTAGTCGTGGCTAGAGTCACAATACCGAGAGAGGCAGAGAGAGATAGAGAGATAGATAGATAGATAAATAGATAGATAGATAGATAGATAGTAGATAGATAGATAGATAGATAGAGAGAGAGAGAGAGAGAGAGAGAGAGAGAGTGAGATAGAAAAGCGAAATAATTACAAATATAATTTATAATAAAAACAAAAGCAGGGGCAATTAGTAACAAAAATGAATAAATAGACAGGTAGGTGGTCATATAGATAAATAATTAAACAGATAGATTGTTAAGTAGACAAATTGTTATACATATAGATGGGTAGATAAGTAAAATAATTTTTTATAAAGAGGTAACAATGTGTATATATATAAACAGATAAATAGGGAAATAAATAATGAAATAGGAAGATAAAAGTGTAGATAAATAGATAGATGAGTAAAATATTTTTTTATAAATAGATAAGAAGACGGGCAGAAAGATATATAAATAGACAGATACATTGGTACATAATTAAATAAATAAACAGATAGATGGGTAGATAAATAAATAAATATAAAGATAAAAGGATAGATAAATAAAGAAATTGGAAAATAAAAGGGTAAATAAATAGATAGATGAGTAAAATAATTTTTTATAGATAGATAACGAGACGGGCAGGAAGATATAAAAATAGACAGATAGATCGGTACATAATTAAATAAATAAACCGATAGATGGGTAGATAAATAAAGAAATATGAAGATAAATGGATAGATAAATAAAAAAATAGGAAACTAAAAGGCTAGATAAATAGATAGATGAGTAAAATATTTTTTTATAAATAGATAACGAGATGAGTAGAAAGATATATAAATAAACAGATAGATCGGTACATAAATAAACAGGTGGATGGTTAGATACATAAAGAAATTGGAAGATAAATAGATAGATAAGTGAAATAACTTTTTATAAATATATAACAAGATGTCTAGAAATATTGATCAGTACATAGATATATCAATAAACAGGTAGATGGATAGACACATAAAGAAATAGGGAGATAAATAGATAGATAAATAGATAGATGAGTAAAATAACTTTTTATAAATATATAACAAAATGTGTAGAAATATTTATCAGTACATAGATATATCAATAAACAGGTAGATGGATAGACACATAAAGAAATAGGGAGATAAATAGATAGAAGAGTAAAATAACTTGTTATAAATAGATAACAAGATGTGTAGAAATATAGATCTTTTATTTTATTTTCTATATCTACTTTTATAAATAAAAAACAGTATGAGTAGAAGGTATATAAGTAGACAGATAGATCGGTACATAGATAAATAAATAAACAGATAGATGGAAAGATAAATAATTGAACAGGAAGATAGATGGGTAGAAGATGGATAAACAGGTTGATAAATAAATAAAACGAAGATAGATCGGTAGATAGATAAATAGGTATATAGATATATAAATAAACAGGTAGATGGCTAGATACATAAAGAACTAGGAAGATAAATGGATAGATAGATAGACAAGTAAAATAATTTTTTATGTATAGATAACAGGATGAGTAGAAAGATATATAAATAGACATATAGATCGGTACAAAGATATATATATATATAAACAGGAAGATAAGCAGCCATTGCAAGTATTATTTTGTTATTTTGTAAAAAAAAATGTAATATTTTATTTTATTTTCTAAATCTACTTTTATAAATAAAAAACAGAATGAGTAGAAGGTATATAAGTAGACCGATAGATCGGTACATAGATAAATAAATAAACAGATAGA